CAAATAGAAATGAATGACTGATGTTTTTGGAAATGTATAAAACATGAAAAGTATGCACTTTTAAAAAAGTAGCTTTTAAATTAGCTACAGCACATTGCACTCACAGTTGCTTACTGGGGTATACAAAGGCCTGTGATCTATGAGGGCATGAGTTTCTTTTTCTTACATTTAAAGAAAAAAAAAAAAAGAAGAGAAAAATATCTCTGTGTCTCTTAGCTAAGATTTCCAAGCTTTTCCTGCGTTTTCTAGTATCATATTCCTATGTGTATTACTCCAGGAGGGAAATTCCCATATCTTACATTTTCTACTTGGCCACAGTAATTTCATTTTTCTCCCTCTTGGTTCCAGCAACAAAAGCATCTCAGTTTGTAGGCTCACATATGCAGAATTAAAAATAATATACATGTCTATAATGGGCCATGTAAATCTTGATTATGGATACAGATAGTAACTTACACATGCATAGATATGGTCAGCTTCTAGTTCCCTTATTCATTGAGAAGTCCAACTGGAAGTACTTAACAGGGGGATATGAAGAAAGTGCACAGGATGTGGGTCTGGAACTTGGAGGTAGAAGAAAATTTCAGTTCTGAGGGTCAAACGAGTTTGTGATGCCTTTTGTATAATAGCAGCAGCTTAAGTCAACGTTTTCAGGAATGATTTTCAATTCCAAGTGCTTTAAAATGAGACTGAAGCCTGATTTTTTTAAAGGGGCATGATGATTTCTCAAAACCAGACCCCTTGCTCTGGTCAAGTAAAATGCAGAGCAATCAATACCAACTCTCATGTTTGAAAACCCCATGTTTAGACTATGACAGCTTTTGGCTTTTGGCAATACTATTGACTGTGAAGTCTCAGCTGAAAGTGTGGACACTCACAACTTACCCACCCTCCTGCACAGGGTAAGGAGGAAATGGAAGAAATTGTACAGTAATTTTTTGCAACACGAATTAATTTCTTTTGCCAGGGAAAACAACGTAAAAATGCACATGCATTTGAGTGCCTCATGCCCTGGCTAGCAATTAGCTGACAGTGCTGAAAACTCTTTGTAAGTCTTCATATCTCCATTTTCTGCTACGGTGGGACAGATTTCTAGTGGAAGAAGGACATCTCCAGAGGCATACAGAAGAGCTTGAGTCAACAGAGACCTTGAGACCACACTGGTGGTGTCCATTCCAGCAGGAATGGAGAAAAGTACTTCGGACAATAAAAGCTGAGTAAGGTGCTCTCAGACTTTTAGAGATTGGAGCAGGACAATAAATAGGTACAAAGCAGTCTCTTGGGTCTGAAGACAAAGGAGAAACAAGAAGAAAGTTCCTGAGAGGAGGCACAGGACAGCATTCAGAAATGAGAAGTAGGAAAGAATTAGTTAAAACCAAGTAACGGGTGACTGGGTCACTTGCACTCGTGTGAACCTACACGTCAGCAAGACCTATAGTCATTTGTAATGTTACAAGTCACTCTGGACACTGTGTTTGCTTCCAGGAGTTCAAAAATTAACTGCTCAGTAAGATACCCCAATGGCATTGCTATTCTGGCCAAAAGAAAACAACAACATAAAAGCACTGGAGGAAAGAGGACCACTAAGCTCATCTCCCCATACACAATGTAATACAGCTCCTTACGGTGTCCAGAGTCACAACACATTCAGTTCAGTGCTTCCCAAGCAAAGAGCAAGAGCAGACAATCCAAGCCCCTCAGTGTTACAGAAGAAATAGCCAAACCCGCTGAACGGTGTTTACCAGCGGTTATAAGGCCTTAAGAAAAACGGAGTAGTCAGCATATCCTTTGACCTAAATCAACGAAACAAAGTGCTTGAGAGAAGCACTGTCCTATCCGCAGTGGACGACATCTTTCCAAGATGAATGCCCAAGTTTTTTCCCCTTTTAGATGCCGCAAATGGTTTTTGGCAGATTCTTCTACACCCAGATGGCGCCAAGTTAACTACTTTTATTATGCCTTTTGGATGGTAATCTTTCCGCAGACTTCCTTTTGGCATCGCTACTGCACCCAATATATTCCAAAGGAAATGACAAGGCTACTGCAGCACCTGGAAAGGGATAGTTGCTTGTACAGACAAAGTCCTGGGATATTGCCATTAAGAAGAGAAACATGATAAAAGGCGGTCTAGATTTCCAGAGACACTTGGTATTCAGGTCTAAAACACAAAAACACTGGGCTACGTCAAAACTAGCTGAACTATTGAGACAACGTGCATGAAAACTAGGCGCAAGGGCAGGCTAAGAAAAGGTAAATTGGCCTAAGAAAGTAATAAATTAATGCAAACTCCTGAATCTATGTCAAAGTGAAATGAATGCTGGGTTATGAATGGCAATAATATATCCTTGGAATGAACTCCTGGAAAATGAAAGCACCTGATACTTGAACATAATACGAGACACTGTTTTCAACCAAGCAGAAGCCCTACCTGAAGCACACCAGTGCTCCCTGCCCGTAACCGCTCGCAGCCACCCACCGTAACTGCGTCGCTGATTGCTGAATTATTGCAACCTGGTCAGAGCAGCAGGGCTGCCACATACTGCTCCTGGACATTCCCTGGTGATATAAATCACTCTCTGCAGACTGAGGAGTGTCTCATTGTAAAAGAAGCATGTGAAAAATGCATAAAAAAAGCTCTTCCAGAGAGTCATTTAAACTTTTGACTGACCACAAACCACTTGTACCCCTGATAAATAGGAAAGACTTGGATCATGTGCCAGGGACTTGTCAAGCACTACTTAGGGCTTAATTAGGTACAATCCGCAGACATAATACAGTATTGTGCCTGGCACAGCCTTGGTAGGTGGTGGTGCCCTGTCTAGATACCTTGCGAATGTGACAGATGTATGAATATTGCAAATGGCTAAGGAAATTAAAGCTTTATGAGAGAGGTCTGCAAGCTTTAAAACCAATGTCTGATTCATAATTATAACACATCTGACTAGCTAATACCAAAAATGTGGAGCGGCAATATTAGTGTGTGGGAAAAGCGACTGCCTTAAATACATTAGAAACATACCAAATAATAACTGGACTCTCATTTCAGAAGCATCATTTCTGAGCCAATATGGTTATCCCAGCAAAAATATCCCTATGGTACTTCATTGGTGAGAATTATGAATAAGCCAAGATGTCTGTTTAGTGGTCTGCCACTGGTAGAAGACATCCTGCCTATTCCAGCTACGCCTCTATGGAGTTACCTCTAAAACACAAGGTCTACCGCAGCCCCCTGCTCGCAGCTGAGATACCTCCCTCATTCCTGTAAGTTAGGCACACCAGGTCCTTGCAAGCAACCTCCTGACCCAGTCCTTGCCCACAGGGACTCTCCTGTGTTATGGCAGTAGTATTGGAGCATGCAGTGGAGCAACACAATTACTTCCCATTTTTTTTTTATTCTCTTGGTTAGGTTATTATCTTAAACACAATGACTTCTAAACTGGAATGCCCTTACTCAAATGTTTTAAGGCTTAAGCTTTCCAGCAAGCATTGTACATCTCTATCTGACATTTTCTCTGGAATTCTTGCTTTCAGCAACCACATCCCTGGCTTTTGATTCCTGGAAAAAATTCTCCTTTCTCATGGTGTCTTGCTTGATCATTAATGTTGACATGCCAAAAGCTTCCCACCGAGATCTTGTTGGCTTTTTTGGCATCCCACTTCTCCACATCTGGTATTTTATATAGCTATCCATAATATTATAATTCTTGTGCCAGTAGCTTGTCCTCTTCATATGCAGACCATATCTCTCACAGATTTCTCCCCAAATCAATGCCTTCTCAGCTATATTAGCAGAGCCCAAACAGCTCCAGCCCCAAACAACCCAGCTGTCTGAAAGTTCTACATTTTTCAGAAAACATCAATCACCAAGTCTCAAAATATCTGACAACCTTATACATAACAAAATTCATGACCAGAAAGTAAAGCATTCATAACTTGTGATTGAAGGCCAATGAAAATGATAGAAGAAACCTTCCTTTCCCCCATGCTGTTGCAGCTTAAGTAGCATCCAAACTTGCTAATGACTGATGCCTGTGGAAATGGGAATTGATGCTGTTTGTCAATGAATTATCAGGATTATTCTGTATTTATGTTAAAGTGAGCGTCTATCTGTAGACCTTAAAGTGATACTGCACACTACAAATCAGGAGGAAAACCCAACCATCTCTGTGTCTCAGGTTATAAGCCATCCTTTGTCCACATCATACAAATTAACCTTGAAAAGCTGATAGAAACCACAAGATAGGGATGAAAGAAGAGGTATCCCAAAAGATAGGAATACCATCAAGGGGCCAGACCCATCTTTTACCATATTCAGTAATAATACAAAATATCATAACCTACAGAAGGCGAATGATCATACCCATCTGCTCTTATTCTAAATAAGATTCTAAATAATATTCTAAATAAGATAAAAAATAACATTTATTTGCTACTTAATGTCCACATTCATTCTACTACAATTTTGCTCATAGATAGTCTCATTTCATCCATGTATTTCATGTTGGCATTTTCTGATCCTGTCATTTCTGTTCAGCCTGCTAGAGCTGGTTGAACAGCGGTGCCAGTAACAGTTACTCAAAACTAGTAAACTCCTACTACTTTTATGCTTATCCTGCCATATCTAAAATGGCTATTATATACTATCTCCTATATTATTTCACACTCCACATTATTCTACCAGAAGAATTTATTCACAAGTCTACAACTGTCAGAGTGACAGGTCTACTATTTGTGAAACCTTACAGTGAAAGTGTGGTTTTTTTCCCCATTGGCAGTGTTAAAAGCAAAATCAGGTAAGTTTTGTGACCAAATGTCACAATCAGATAAAAAACTACCATCCCAAACAGAAAAAAAAAAAAAAAAAACAGAACCACAACCCTCAAAGCTAGAAACTAATGAGACTTGCAATTGAATTATCATTAAAAAAACACGCCTAAAGAGCGAAGTGTCCAACTTACACTCAGGCTTTGCTGGCATTTGGGAAATGCGTCTTTTCTTACCTGTCTCTCAGAAGGAAGGAAGAGGATTCTTTTCATGGGGGCAGTTGAGCACAGAGATAGGTTGTCCAGAGAGGCTGCAGCATGCTCATTCTCGGAGAGACGTAAAGCTTCACCAAACAAGACCTTGGGCAACCTCATGAAGTGAAGTCAGATCTGCTTTCAGCATGAGGTTGGACCAGACGATCTCCAGATATCCTTTCCAATCTATGTTTTCTGATAATTTGATGATTCTAATCACTAACTAAATAAAAAATTAAACATTTCACCAACAAAAGGGTTTTGACATGTTTCTTATACAATAAACTGCACTTCTATTTTCACCACATTGAGATAATGACATGACAGTTACTGGTGATTTTTGTTTTACTTACAGGAAAATTTTTCTACTTATGCAAAAATACTGTCATTTTAGCATCTGTGTGCTATTTGGACAGGTTTTATCATTGGAACTGTGATAAATGCCAATGCTTGCTTCACCAAAACCTTAAATAAAGTCTTAAGTTGTAAGGATATGCTTATCCCTACATTCCCCTTGGTGCTTCCTTGTTTCACAGGTGGAGGACTAAGGCACACGAGAAGCCTGTGGGGAGGCTGGCAGCTGAACCTTTACCTTCTAAATCTCAGTCCGTTGCTTTCAACACAAATCCATCCTTTGGTCCTTGTTAAATACTCCATGGGCAACTTCTTTCTTTCCTATATAAGACCTTCTTGTAACTGCAACAGCTGAGATAAAGCATTCAATGGCAAAAATACACTGTCATCTAAACTGCCCCTTATGCACAGCTTAGTTCATGGTTTTCATAGCACGTTTTGAAATAGGACACAACTGTACTCATTTAGTTTGATTGCTGCATTATAAAGACACCTCTGTGAAGGAAGAATGTCACTTTCATTACAGGCCATTGGAAGAGTCAATTATCTCCAGGATTTCATACCTGTTAGGGGCAAGGATGAGACTGAAAACACAGGTAGCATCAGGTGTACGCTGATCTTGGGGACTGCTCCAAAGCACCCAAACCATGCACCCACTCTGCTTCCAAACGTTCAGCACTGGCACATCGCAGGGAAGAGCTGAGCTGTCGTGCAAAGCATTTTACGTCTTTCCTGCCTCTACCCCTATGATCTGTGGTCCCCATGGCACACATCCTACATCCTGTAGACCCTGATGACCTCCACTTACCTGCAGAATTTGTAGAACTTTCTGGGTTTTGTAGCCAGCCATTATTTTTGTTCAAGCCTTGCAGCAGTTGCTAATAACCTCAGCATTACCTTTCGAACTGTCACACAAGCTGTATGCTCTAAAATGTTATCCATTTCAATAAGAAGGATACCCCAAGGACACAGATGTTAGGTAAGTATCTAACTGCTTAGCTTTCTACTGAACTACTGAGGTTGCTTCTTGCTAAACTGCCAAAAGCAGAACAACAAAAATGCTTGCCAGATCCTCTTCATATTCTGTGCAAATCCCTGTTCATCCGTCAGAGACTGTTCAGCTCCTGTCAGGACAAGGGAGGAAGAATCTGGCCCTTCTCTTCAAACTTCATTACCCCATGGGAGTACATCTGTGTGTCCCACCCCTGAGTGTCTCACACCCTGTACCATACCACTGACCATTTATTCAGGTGTAATGCCAGCGCTCAAAACCAGTAAAGTCCCCAACTACCCTTGCAGTAGTGGAAGCCAAGTTTCCAAATACTCACAAGGCAAAGAGGGGTGTTTTCAAGGGCACAAATGGCAGTCAAGTTCCCAACCGGGTCCTGTGCTTGAAAAAAATCTGTCTTGCATGTGTGAGCAGCTGGGTCAGGGCATGATCTCCCTCCGGGGACATCCTCTCTTTGCATTGTTTTCCCTTTTTAAGAGTACAAGTGTTGGGCAGCCGCCTGCAACTGTCACTGTGTAGGATGAAATGAAATACAGTGTTATTAATAAAAGAAAAAAGTAACTCGCACAATAGCGAGATTTGGTTAGATTTCTGAAAAAGGAAGAGCAAAGAAGCAGTTCTCCCCACATCTTTAAGGCATTCTGGGGTGAATATTTAGCTCTCATAGCTGTAAGGAGCTTGGCAACATATGCCTAATTTCTAGCGGGACAGGCAGAAGGGCTAGTGAGAAGGGATGATGACAGGCTAGGAATGGAACAGCAACGTGGTATTTTAACAAAGATGAAAAGTGTTGCTTTGCATCTGAGAGCAGCTTTGTTAATGCTGTTGCATTTCTCAGGCCACATAGCTGAACCGTCAGTGGGTTTGGCTGTGTCACCTTGGTATAAGCAAAGCTTGATGAAATGTGAGTAATTTTTAAAAGAAAGCATTTCTGTGGGTTTGATTCTCTGTTTTGTGGTCGTTGCTTTGGAAGGAACGTTAGTCATTTGGGGCTTTTGCACTTGCATTAAAAAAAAAAAAAAAAAAAAAGGGGGAAAAAAAAAAAGATAAAGACCTCTGTCTGAAGGTCCAATTTCCTTGATAAGACGTGGTGAGTTGCCTCCTCTGTCAGATAACAGAAGTATGAGATCTTTGAAATCAAGCTGAAATGCTGGAAGATGATTCAGGTTAGGACACTTCATTCAAACGTATGTGTGTTTTGGGAGGGGGAGTTGGTCCTTGTTTAAAGAAATGTCCTTTTTACAGTACCCATTTGCCTGGTAAAAGTTCTCACAGCAAGTAAAGACAAAGAACCTTTTCCCTTCAAAATAACTCAAAATTGCATTGGGAAGATAAGGTGGGGGGAGGGGTTGTGTTTGTTTACTTTTTTGGGAGATACAGAAGGTTTTAGTGATGGTTTCAAGCTTACAAGGGGCTCATAGTCAGAGCCTTGCCAAGCCACAGAGACACCTGGCCAGCCACCAGCCAGCTGCATGGGGGCAAGGGGAGCGCTTGTCCCAGGGGTTGGTTCTGGCTGCCCTCCCCTCCGACTTCCTCCCAACCAGGAGCTGAGCTGAGGGTGAAGTGAGCACACCTTTGCTCAGCTCCCATGTCTGAAGGAGCCCAGGAGAGCATACACTCGCCACTCCTGCCCTGCCTCCAAGGCAGGCAACCTCCCTTCCTTGCAAACCTTGGGGCCAGGAACCAGCAGGATGAGCTGGAGGCAGTGGAAATCAGGCAGCGCCCAGCAGTGAGATGGGCGCCCAAGGTCTAAACAACATCTACACCCCGCTGAAGGAAGGCACCTACCTCCATCTGGGTTCCATATCCATCCATCCTCCTCTTAGAGCTGGGCTATAGACTGGTCCCGTACAATCCACCTTTTCCAGAAGAGTTGACCACCGAGCAGAATGGGGAGACTCATCATTCCTCAGCCCAGAAAAAAACAGCCCCCTGCCTCCCTCTAGATGCATCTGCCCTAGGGTTAAGCGCCTGACAGCTCCTACCTCTGGCCATAGCTGGCAGGAACTCACCTTTGAGCTTGCAGAAGTCTGTTGAATCCAAGGCATTTCAGGAGCCTGGGTATCTTGGACCCTGAAAGCGGTGGGGAGGTTTCCAACAAAATTTTGATTTGCTGAAAAATTTCCAACCAAACCTAAGTGTCAGCTGTGTAGCTGCGAGTTGAGAAAAAGAAAAAAAAAATACCATGATTTTATTTGGTTTTTAATCGTAGCTTAGTTTCAGTTACCTGCTCTAAAAAAATGTTTTCCTTTGTAAAAATTCTTTAACAATAAAAAGCTGCCTCTACCCCCCCTCAAAATGTGGTGTAAGCTTCACAGCTAGCTAGGAATGGGATCTGTAACATGTATTATGCTGTTTGCTATATTCCAGAAATAATTTTCCAATAGCCTTGAAACAGAAACAGAATCAGTGCAGTGCATATAAACAAACAGAAAGCTCTTTGGGTCTTGATATTTAAAGTTTTACCTCCCAGTTCTTCCTGCAAAAGTGGTATCTCTGGCTCTGGTGTTCCTGTAACAGATGTGCTAAAATTCATATATATAGCTTTGTAACTGCCCTACACCATGGTTTTGATGTCCTTGTGAGCCTTGGCTTGCTGATCCCTCAGTTTTAAAGTTTACTGGGCTATATTTTTCTGAAAAGTTGAATGCTCACAACAGAATCATTTTAAAGGGCATGATGACTTCATGGCATTAGATTTGTCACACAATAAGGCATCACCTTTCCACAAAGACAGAAGGAATGATAACATCTGTCCTATGTACCCTGTGTGTCCTGAGCCCAGTGGCTCTGCTGAGCAAGAGATGTCTGAAATATCTATGGAGTGTAATACCCTGAAGCAAAGACCACATTCACCCATAGCTCAGGTGAAAATGTTGGTGTCATTAATAGCTTCTTTTCTGTACCATTGTGTCCACCTTAGCTGCCAACAGTAGATGATGTAGGCAAAGCAAGGGAGAAGTTTCAAGGGAGAAGCAGCCACAGCCCTCTGTCCAGAGCCAGATGAAAGGCCATCCCAGAACTCAGTCCAAGAGTTAGGTCTTACCGTACTCCTGGAGTGAGGTTTCCATCCTGCCATGCTGGTTGTCTATGTGCTCCATCCATAGGGCTTAGGAAGCTGTCCCAACCAAGCAGCTTCACTCAGAGCAGCAATAAAGGAAACACGGCTGTCACAAGTCATTTACAATTATTCACAATTCTTTTCTCAGTCCTTAAGCTGTAAAGAGACTAAGGAAATCAGTGAAAGGTACAAAGAGCCCCATTTCATTTGCTTTTCCCAGCTTTCCTCTCCGCATCTACCTCTTGCTTACTGGCCTGCAGGTACTTTGATAGCAAGCCACAGAAACCACAGCGGCAAGTACTTTACCAGTACTGGGGAAACTCTCAAGGGAGAGGAGAAGAAATAGGTACGAAATTGTTACTCTTTTTGCTCTCTGTGTTTATTTATTTTGGACCCATTGGGCTAGACCGCAACTAAAACTTTATGAACCTAATAAAATTCCCAACATTCTCAGACATGGGTCGTGATGTTTATGTATTAGGCAGAATACAAAGGTGTATTTATGAGGAGACTGGAAGTACTTAGAGATGCTTGAGCTCAGGCAAGGCACAAAGCACACGTAAGAAATGTTTTCAAACTTAGCACAGGTACAGTCAAGCTAACAAGTGTTCTTCCCAGCTGGGAAGATGAAGATAAACCGCATGACATATCACACCCAGAGCATTTTGGAAATGTTGTGCACCTCCACACCTCCTCACAGATGGCGGAGCACAGGGCAATTTCATTAATTTTTTCAACAGATGTTATTTATTTATTTATTTGCCTGGTTCTGCTATGGCTAAAATACGAGCTCTCTCATTTTGGTAGTGGTGGTAACAATACACACTAATAAACGGGAGAAAGTTACAAGAGTAAACATCTCTTTTCCTTTCTGTCCTCATAAACTACACAGTATTCCCTGATTCAATAAGCAAGATATACTTTCTGACTCAAGTTGAGAGATAATGGGTCTTGGCGACAGATAGGCTTTCCATCTTTATAAATAAAAAAAAAAAAGCTAGAGAGAATATATGCTGGGATTTATTTTTGCCAGGAGCAAATAAACAGTTCTGTCAATACACAGATAATCCTGCTTCCCCGTTTCCCCACCCCTCTTCTGTCTTTGGCTATCTGTACACCACCCCCCCACCTCCCCTCCACCC